TGAGGGAGGGGTCTAGGGTCTATTGTGACTGGAGGAGATCTATATTTGCATAGCGGTCATTGTTGCTGGAATGGATCTACTGTTGAGGGAGGGGTTTATTGTTGGAGCTATTTTTGCACAGTGATCTAAGGGATCTACTGTTGAGGGAGGGGTCTATTGTGACTGGAGATCTATATTTGCAAATCTATTGTTTCTGGAAGGGATCTACTGTTCAGGGGGGGGTCTATTGTACTGGAGGAAATTTATGAGTTTCTGGAAGGGATCTACTGTTGAGGGAGGGGTTTATTGTCACTGGAGGAGATCTATTTTTGCACAGCGATCTACTGTTGAGGGAGGGGATTATTATGACTGGAGAAGATCTATTTTGCACAGCGGTCTATTGTTGCTGGAAGCGATCTACTGTTGAGGGTGGGGTCTATTGTGACTGGAGGAGATCTATTTTGCACAGTGGTCTATTGTTGCTGAAAGCAATCTACTGTTGAGGGAGGGGTCTAATACGACTGGAGCAGATCTATTTTTGCACAGCGGTCTATTGTTGCTGGAAGGGATCTACTGTTGAGAGAGGGGTCTAGGGTCTATTGTGACTGAAGGAGATCTATTTTTGCATAGCGGTCTATTGTTGCTGGAATGGATCTACTGTTGAGGGAGGGGTTTATTGTCACTGGAGATCTATTTTTGCACAGCGGTTTATTGTTGCTGGAAGGGATCTACTGTTGAGGGAGGGGTCTATTGTAACTGGAGATCTACTTTTGCACTGCGGTCTATTGTTGCTGGAAGGGTTCTACTGTTGAGGTAGGGGTCTATTGTGACTGTAGATCTATTTTTGCACAGAATTCTATTGTTGCCGGAAGGGATCTACTGTTGAGGGAGGGGTCTATTGCGACAGGAGGAGATCTATTTTTGCACAGCGGTCTATTGTTGCTGGAAGCGATCTACTGTTGAGGGAGGGGTCAATTTTGACTTTAGGAGATCTATTTTTACACAGCGGTCTATTGTTGCCGGAAGCCATCTATTGTTGAGGGACTAGAATTATTGCTCTCGATTCGACGTTCGCGTCGATACCTCACATGTGTGGTGCGATCAGCATTTACACACCAATGCATGACCAACACGTGTGCTTGCTCGTGACCACAGCAGAATGGGGGCGCTATACATTTTTTTTTTTACACATATTTTGATTTTGAATTTTTATGTTTACATTGTGTCTTTACAGTTTTTAAATCACTTATATTGCTATCACAAGAAATGGAAATATCCCGTAATAACAATAAAGGATGACAGGTTCTCTTTACTTAGACATCTGGAGTCTACTGGACCCCAGATCTCTCATCTGCCCTTAAAAGCATCTGATCAAACCAAGTGGAGGAATAGTGCCCCATCATTGGCGTCAGTGGGAGGAATAATGCCCCATCATAGGTGTCAGTGGGAGGAATAGTGCCCCATCATTGGTGTCAGTGGGAGGAATAGTGCCCCATCATTGGTGTCAGTGGGAGGAATAGTGCCCCATCATTGGTGTCAGTGGGAGGAATAGTGCCCCATCATTGGCGTCAGTGGGAGGAATAGTGCCCCATCATTAGTGTCAGTGGGTGGAATAGTGCCTCATCATTGGTGTCAGTGGGAGGAATAGTGCCCCATCATTGGCGTCAGTGGGAGGAATAGTGCCCCATCATTGTTGTCAGTGGGAAGAATAGTGCCCCATCATTGGCGTCAGTGGGAGGAATAATGCCCCATCATAGGTGTCAGTGGGAAGAATAGTGCCCCATCATTGGCGTCAGTGGGAGGAATAATGCCCCATCATAGGTGTCAGTAGGAGGAATAGTGCCCCATCATTGGTGTCAGTGGGAGGAATAGTGCCCCATCGTTGTTGTCAGTGGGAGGAATAGTGCCCCATCGTGTTGTCAGTGGGAGGAATAGTGCCCCATCGTTGTTGTCAGTGGGAGGAATAGTGCCCCATCGTTGGTGTCAGTGGAGGGAGGAATAGTGCCCCATCGTTGTTGTCAGTGGGAGGAATAGTGCCCCATCGTTGGGTGTCAGTGGGAGGAATAGTGCCCCATCGTTGGTTTGGTGTCAGTGGGAGGAACAGTGCCCCATCGTTGTTGTCAGTGGGAGGAACAGTGCCCCATCGTTGGTGTCAGTGGAGGAGTGAACAGTGCCCCATCGTTGTGTCAGTGGGAGAATAGTGCCCCATCGTTGGTGTCAGTGGGAGGAGGAACAGTGCCCCATCGTTGGTGTCAGTGGGGAGGAATAGTGCCCCATCGTTTGTTCAGTGCCCCATCATCGTGTCAGGGGAGGAATAGTGCCCCATCGTTGGGTGTCAGCGGGAGGAATAGTGCCCCATCGTTGGTGTCAGCGGGAGGAATAGTGCCTTATCATTGGTATCAGCGGGAGGAATAGAATAGTGCCCCCATCATCGTGTCAGTGGGAGGAATAGTGCCCCATCATCGGTAGTTCAGTGGGAGGAATAGTGCCCCATCATTGTCAGTGGGAGGAATCCGTGGGAGGAATAGTGCCCCATCATTGGTGTCAGTGGGAGGAATAGTGCCCCATCATTGGTCAGTGGGGGAGGAATAGTGCCCCATCATTGGTATCCGTGGGGAGGAATAGTGCCCCATCATGGTTGGTAGTGCCCCATCATTGGTCAGTGGAGGAATAGTGCCCCATCATGTGAGAGGAATAGTGGCCCCATCATTGGTGTCAGTGGGAGGAATAGTGCCCCAGTCGGGAGGAAATATCATTGGTCAGTGGGAGGAATAGTGCCCATCATTGGTCAGTGGGAGGAATAGTGCCCCATCATTGGTCAGTGGGAGGAATAGTGCCCCATCATTGGTCAGTGGGAGGAATAGTGCCCCATCATTGGTCAGTGGGAGGAATAGTGCCCCATCATTGGTATCAGTGAGAGGGAATAGTGCCCCATCAAGTGGGAGGAATATAGTGGCCCCCATCATTGTGTCAGTGGGAGGAAGGAATAGTGCCCCATCATTGGTCAGTGGGAGGAATAGTGCCCCATCATTGGTGTCAGTGGGAGGAATAGTACCCCATCATTGGTGTCAGTGGGAGGAATAGTGCCCCATCATTGGTAATTCCGTGTCAGTGGGGAGGAATAGTGCCCCATCATTGGTGTCAGTGGGGATCAGATGGGAGGAATAGTGTCCCATCATTGTTGTCAGTGGGAGGAATAGTGCCCCATCATTGGTATCAGTGGGAGGAATAGTGCCCCATCATTGGTGTCAGTGGGAGGAATAGTGCTTACAATAGGAATAGTGCCCCATCATTGGTATCAGTGGGAGGAATAGTGCCCCATCATTGGTATTATTGGGAGGAATAGTGCCCCATCCCATCATTGGTGTCAGTGGGAGGAATAGTGCCCCATCATCGGTATCAGTGGGAGGAATAGTGCCCCATCATTGGTGTCAGTGGAGGAATAGTACACCATCATTGGTGTCAGTGGGAGAATAGTGCCCCATCATCGGTATCAGTGGGAGGAATAGTGCCCCATCATTGGTATTCAGTGGGAGGAATAGTGCCCCATCATTGGTGTCAGTGGGGAAATAGTACACCATCATTGGTATTAGTGGGAGGAATAGTGTCCCATCATTGGTGTCAGTGGGAAGGAATAGTGTCCATCATTGGTGTCAGTGGGAGGAATAGTGCCCCATCATTGGTATTCAGTGGGAGGAATAGTGCCCATCATTGGTGTCAGTGGGAGAATAGTGCCCCATCATTGGTATCAGTGGGAGGAATAGTGCCCCATCATTGGTGTCAGTGGGTGGAATAGTGCCCCCATCATTGGTATCAGTGGGAGGAATAGTGCCCATCATCAGTGGTATCATTGGTATTAGTGGGTAGCGCTTCATCATTGGTATTAGTGGGAGGAATAGTACCCCATCATTGGTGTCAGGGGGAGGAATAGTGCCCCATCATTGGTATTAGTGGGAGGAATAGTGCTTCCTCATTGGTATTAGTGGGAGGAATAGTTCCCCATCATTGGTGTCAGTGGGAGGAATAGTGCCCAGTCAATGGTGTCATTGGTGTCAGTGGGAGGAATAGTGCCCAGTCAATGGTGTCAGTGGGAGGAATAGTGCCCAGTCATTGGTGTCAATAGGTGAAATAATGCCTCATTGTTGATGTCAGTAGCAGGAATTATGCCCCATTGTTCGTGTCAATGGGAGATATAGTGTCTTGTATCTGTGGGAGAAAAAGTGCCCCAAGGGCCAGATAAAGGCAAACAAAGGGCCGCATCTGGCCCCCGGGCTGCAGTTTGCAGACCAATGTCTTAGATCATAGAAATGATTGGAGACATTCTGGTCCCCAATGAGTTTTATGATCAGTCAGCGGAACTGCCAGCTTCAGTGCCAGGAATCCCGATCGGACGGGAGGGCATGGAGAGGCTCCGGAGGGGGTGGCGGGGGATAACCTCTTCCGCTGCCTGTAAAAGCAATCCAGCTGCTAATTAGCCACTAGGAAAGCTTTTACATTGTAGAGCTTTGTTGGCTGCAGCCACGGTCCACTCAAACCACCACAACGTCTCCATACATTGTCTGGCGGCAAGTGGTTAAAATCCAGCAATACGCCGTCTCACCTTCCTCTGCTCATGCTCAGTGGCTCTCTATGCTCAGCACTGTGCCTAAAATCAGAGCCACTAGAGGCTGATCAACTCCATGTGTTTCTGTTTCTTTTTTTCTGCCTCCAAAATGCAGAAAGTAGGTGATATGGTTGTCACTGTCATAGTTCACACCAGTCAGTGCCGTCTTTAACCCCTCGCCTTCAGGGCACTTATTCCCCCTTCCTGCCCAGGCCAATTTCCAGCTTTCAGCGCTGTCACACTTTGAATGACAATTTCACGGTCATGCAACACTGTACCCATATGACATTTTTATCATTTTTTTGTGACAGATAGAGATTTATTTTGGTGGTATTTAATCACCTCTGGGTTTTTTTATTTTTTCTTAAACAAACCAAAAAACTTTGAAAAAAAAAACCCTGTTTTTCTTAGTTTTTGGTATAAAATTTTGTAAATAAGTGATTTTTCTCCTTCACTGATGTGCACTAATGAGGCTGCAGTGATGAGCACTGATAGGCTGCACTGATGGACACTGATAGGCGGCACTGATGAGGAGGCACTGGTAGGTGGCACTGATGGGCATTGACAGGCATCACTGATGGGCACTGAAAGGCTGCACTGATATATGGCACTGATAGGTGGCACTGATAGGTGGCACTGACTGGCACTGATAGGCAGCACTAACTGGCACTAATGGGCACTGATAGGTGGCACTGATGCGCACTGATAGACGGCACTGACTGGCACTGATAGGTGGCACTGACTGGCACAGATAGGAGGCACTGATTGGCAGCACTGATAGGTGGCACTGATTGGCATTGATAGGTGGTACTGACTGGCACTGATGGGTGACATTGAAAGGCAGGTCAGATGGGCACTGATATGTGGCATTGATGAGGCACTGATGAGCACTGACAGCTGGCACTGATAGACACTGACAGGTGGCACTGCTGGGGCTACACTGATCATCAGGGCACACTGATCATCAGTGCTCTGTTGATCAGTGTACATGTCCCCTCTGAGTAATGCCGATTACTGGCTCTTCTCTCCTCTGTCAGCGTGACAGCTCGAGAGAAGAGAAATGCCGATAACCGGCATTTCCCTGTTTACGTATGATCAGTTGTGATTGGACACAGCTGATCACATGACCGAGCCAACATCTTCAGCTCTTTCCGTGGATCGGTGATTCGCTGTGTCCTAGGGACACAGCGCACCGCCGATCTCCGTTCTGCGTGCTCCCGGAGCCGCGCATGCACGGTGAGAATGGGAGGACATCATATGACGCCCTCCCAGAACGAGAGAACCACCTTGTGTCCCTCATATTACTATATGGCGGGCAGGCGGGAGGTGGTTAAGTAGGGGCAAAAGGGGCAGCTGCCCTCGGCCCAGTCATTGTTATGGGGCCCAAAGCAGCTGCTCCACACTTGCCAACTGTATTGGTCCACATTCTCTTGTGTCTGGAAGTCTTCGTCCCGGGTTGTGTCCCATACCTCAGTGTGAAGTGCTGTCACTTATGCTGCTCAGCTCTGTCCTATTGCCATGTACAGGTGACTCATGTATGCAGACTGTGTCAGCATTCACATGTAAATAATGGCAACATTCACATGTAAATAGTGGCGGCATTCATATGTATATTACGCACCTCCCCCTCCCAAGTTTCCAACCACCAACACCTCTGCTGGTGATCAGTGTAAATTCCCACTTACATTGGTGGCCAGTGTATAAATTTATTGGTTGTTGGTGTCAAATCCCCCATTACATTGGTGGCCAGTATAAAAATGTATTGGTTGTTGTTGCAAATCCCCCATTACATTGGATGTCAGTGCAAATTCTTCATTACATTTGTCATCAGTTTTAACCCCCTAACATTGGTTGTCGGTGTAGAAATGTCACCTCCCATCCTTCACTGCAACTAATCCCATCTCCCCCAAGCACTACCATTGATCCCACCCCCCCAAGCACTGTCACTCATCCCATCCCCCCAGCATTGCCACTTATCCCATTCTCCCCACCACTGCCACTGATCCCATCAACCCCACCCCCAGCACTGCCACTGATCACACCCTCCTCCCAGCACTGCCCATGATCCCAGGAGTCCTAGGAGTTTTCTGTCTATTGGTAGGGTCCACTAACCTTCTCAGTCCATGGTGTGCAGGCAGTGAGGAGATGATGTGCTGTAACCTTCAGCAACTAATCAGTGAGACGTAATTAAGTGCTGTAACCTTCAGCAACCAATCAATGAGACGTAACCTCTAGTAAGCAATCAGTGAGTGGTAAGGATGTGCAGTAACCTCTAGCAACCAATCGGTGACCGGTAATGATGTGCAATAACCTTTAACAAACAATCAATAACCGGTAATAGTATGCAGTAACCTCTAGCAAGCGACCAGTAATGGTGTGCAGTATCCTCTAGCAACCAATTGGTGAGCAGTAAGGATGTGCAGTAATCTCACGCAAACAAACAGCAACTCAGAAATCATGTGCTATAACCTCTAGGAATTAATCAGTGAGCTGTAATGTGTGCTGTAACCTCTATCAACCAATCAGACGTAATTAAGTGCCGTAACCTCTAGTAACCAACCAATGAGTGGTAAGGATGTACAGTAACCTCTAGCAACCAATGGGTGAGCGGCAATGAAGTGCAGTAACCTCTAACAGCCCATCAATAACCGGTAATATGTGAAAAATAAACAGCGCAAAATAGATATTATTAAATAACAAAATATCAAAACCCCATATCACTTAATACATATTTGTGTCAAAAAACTCATTAAAAGTCCCTTGTGGTGCAAAATAAAGACCTCCAAATCAAATTCTTAGCCTTCCACCTTTCACCCGTGCACACCAACATCAAATGCACTCACCAGATTAAGGTGAATGTAGAGCCTTTGGGATTTTAATAGGGAATCCCACGCCCTCTTTCCATCCACTCAAAATTAGCCTCCCAAAGATAGGATCCTCTTTCCGGTCCTCACCGTGGTCTCCTCGCTTCCTCCACCGTGTTCTCAGAGAAAAAAACTTACATAGTGTAATATTGCCAAGATCATTCTGATCCTATATTGAACAAACTCCAGGCCACTCACATTTCAAATGAATAATAAAAGCACATTTATTGGGCCCAAGACAGCCAGATAATCACAGCCAGCAAATCCTCCAGGGTTCCCACATCAATGCAGCCAGATGAGGCAGAGACTTAACCAATATTCAACACGAATCCCACAAAATGGCCGTTGGAACGCACCGCTCGGCGTGCGCTCCACTCACCGGAAGTGACGTCAGACGTACAGCAAATGGACCGGAAATACGTCAACGCGTTTCGCCCCTCCCATCGGGACGTATTTCTCATTTGTTCTCTGCGTTCTCAAGAGAGGGGCGAAAGCGGTGCGTTGCCATTTTTGGGATTCGTGTTGAATATTGGTTATCTCTCTGCCTCATCTGGCTGCATTGATGTGGGAACCCTGGAGGATTTGCTGGCTGTGATTATCTGGCTGTCTTGGGCCCAATAAATGTGCTTTTATTATTCATTTGAAATGTGAGTGGCAGGGGAGTTTGTTCAATTCAGAATGATCTTGGCAATATTACACTATGTAATGAGAACACGGTGGAGGAATGCAGGTAGGACCTGAAAGAGGAACCTAACCAGGCTAATTTTGAGTAATGGTGCGCAGTATCCCTCAAAGCACTAATTGGTGAGTGCATTTGATGTTGGAGTGCACGGGTGTAAGGAATTGCAGTAATCTCTAGCACCACAAAACTTTTAAAACATGGGGCAATTTTGCGCTGTTTATTTTTCAACTTGTTTGTGTATTCACAATTTTTGTACAGCAGCAATTTAGAAGAGTGATTTATTTATTCATTTTTGATCTTGATTGGCGCAGGGATATATTTTTTCTTTTAATAACCGGTAATAGTATGCAGTAACCTCTAGCAACCAACCAGTGACCGTAATGGTGTGCAGTAACCTCTATCCACCAGCAAGCAGAAATCATGTGCTATAACCTCTAGAATTAATGATAATGTGTGCTGTAACCTCTATCAACCAATCAGACGTAATAAGTGCCGTAACCTCTAGTGAGTGGTAAGGATGTACAGTAACCTCTAGCAACCAATGGGTGAGTGGTAATGATGTGCAGTAACCTCTAACAAGCCCAATCAATAGGCGGTAATAATATGCAGTAACCACTAGCAACCAACCAGTGACCAGTTATGGTGTGCAGTATCCTCTAGCAACCAATTGGTGAGCAGTAAGGAATTGCAGTAATCTCTAGCAACCAATCAGCAAGCAGAATCATGTGCTGTAACCTTTAGCAATAAATCAGTGAGCCGTAATGTGTGCTGTAACCTCTATTAACCAGTCAGTGAGCTGTAATGTGTGCTGTAACCTCTATCAACCAATCAGTGAGACGTAATTAAGTGCCATAACCTCTAGTAACCAACCAATGAGTGGTAAGGATGTACAGTAACCTCTAGCAACCAATGGGTGAGTGGTAATGATGTGCAGTAACCTCTAACAGCCCATCAATAAGCGGTAATAATATGCAGTAACCTCTAGCAACCAACCAGTGACCAGTAATGGTGCGCAGTATCCTCTAGCAACTAATTGGTGAGCAGTAAGGAATTGCAGTAATCTCTAGCAACCAATCAGCAAGCAGAATCATGTGCTGTAACCGCTAGCAATGAATCAGTGAGCCGTAATGTGTGCAGTAACCTCTATCCACCAGTCAGTGAGCAGTAATGATATGCTGTAACCTCTAGTAACCAATCAGTGAGTGGTAAGGATATGCAGTAACCTCTAGCAACCAATGGGTGAGTGGTAATGATGTGCAGTAACCTCTAACAACCAATCAATAGGCGGTAATAATATGCAGTAACCTCTAGCAACCAACCAGTGACCAGTAATAGTGTGCAGTATCCTCTAGTAACCAATTGGTGAGCAGAAAGGATGTGCAGTAATCTCTAGCAACCAAGAAGCAAGCAGAAATCATAGGCTGTAACCTCTAGCAATGAATCAGTGAGCTGTAATGTGTGCAGTAACTTCTATTAACCAGTCAGTGAGCTGTAATGTGTGCTTTAATCTCTATCAACCAATCAGCAAGCAGGAATCATGTGCTGCAACCTCTGTCAACCAGTCAATGAACAGTAATGATATGCTGTAACCTCTATCAACCAACCAGCAAGCAGGAATCATGTGCTGTAACCTCTATCAACCATTCAGTGAGAGGTAATGTGTGCTGTAAACTCTATTAACCAATCAGTGAACGGTAATGATATGCTGTAACCTCCGGCAATCAATTGCAATTGCTGCCTGATCTGCTGGAGTACACGGATTTTGAGTTTAGCTTCTATCTCTGGTATGTCTCAGAGCTGGTGGAGAGTGAAATTTCATGGGGGGGCCCCAAGAAAATGTTCACCCAGGGTCCCATCAATATTAACGATGGCCCTGACAGCAGCGCTTGCAGTTCCAGTGCGTTCCGTATGCAGAAAACAAAAGTAGAACAGGCAGCATTCTTCCAGAACTGTACTGGAACGCAGTAAAACGCATCAAAAAGGCATAAAAAACGCATATGTCCCTAATTGCAAAAAAAAGAACAAAAAAAAAAAAAGGAACTGGAATACATCAAAAATGCACCAGAACGTGGAACAATAGGGCACGCAGAAACACACCTGGACTACGTTTCTATAGTGTGAACCATTGTGGGAACAAGACCTCAAAGCATCAGAAAGTCCTCCAACTTAATCAGTGTGTAGCACAGTAAAGCCTTCAGAGAACTGGAGGGATTGATGTGCTTGAGAACCAACTGGTCCAGCAGTGAAAGTGTTAATCTGCTCCTCTCTGTCTTAAAGGGGAAGTACCTGCTGCTCTGAGGTCACTGCCCCGCCTACTTTCCCCTCCTCTGTGGCCATTTTCTGTAGGACCATCCAGAGACAACAAGCCAGCAGAGAGGACGGCGAGGAGTCATTGGGGGAAACCAACACTGGAAGTTCTCTTGGCTTTGGGTGATTCTCTGGGG